CAAGCTACCCATTGATCAAAAATTCAGAATGCGGCAGTTGTGAGATCAAATTAAAAAGACGTTTGATTCATATCAGAATCTAAATGTCTGTATCCTGTTTTCTTTTATGAGGAATACGAAAGGTCAGACCCAAGAAGCTGGAAGACTAAACAGGCATTTGTATTCAAATGATCTCTTTTAAAAGGTCACTTGAATGACAGAGTTACCATAGATGCAACAGACTATTTAAAATGCTCAGGATACAACTAAGTGCCTCACAACAGGTCTTCTATTTATAAAGTTGGAAACTATTTTTTAAAAAACATAGAAATAAAAACAAGTTGGAGGCAGGCTAAAAGGCAGCTAAACATTGTCAAAGAACATATCGGGAGCACAAAACTTCTTATCAGTAAGAAAAAGCTTAATGATTTTAAAAACCAGCACCCAGACCTGGTATTTGAAGATCTGTGACAAGCCCAGTATAACTCTAAGCCCTTTGGTGAATGGCCACTTGTGATGAACTCCATTTTAACAGCACCATAATTCAAGTAGATGTCTTCTCTGGTTTTGACCAGTTCTAACCAAAATGCCATATACTGGAAAGTCTTTGGTCTTTGGTAAAACACTGCAGCAGTGATTGGAAGTGACTTAAAGTCACTTAAAACTATTAACTCTTCAGGGTTTAATTCCTCTATATAGTTGCTGCCATTCAAAATGGCCCTTCCCAGTCAAATGCCAGCAGATTGGCAGCCTACTCCCGTAGCCGTGACTCCCGGCAGAATTTCCTCGAACTTCCAGCCTCTGGCCTTTTCCTGGGCGTGCATTTTTTTTCACTCTGACTCCAGCCATTCACTGAATTACAGGGTATGACCAGGAGATGACATCTTAATGTCCACACATCAGGACAGAAAGAATATTTTAGTACAAATATTGGAGTTTAAAAAGCAATTGTAAAGGACCAAATCCAGGAAAGTGGGGACATTTTGATTGGCTACTACTGTATTGCTGTAGGTTGTTTAAACTTATTCTGAGGACATTATCTTTCTCATCCTTTAAACTTTAGTCTGCCCATGGTTTGTTTGTTACACCTACTGAACAGCACCAACTGAAAGGCCATACACATGGTCATAAAAAGTTACTAAAGTCTACTCCTAATATGGTATTTACAAGGAAGGGAAGTCTGGATAAAAAAAGTACTTCTAAGGAATTTGCTTTTGTCAGAGCTGAATTTGGCTTAGCCACAGATGAAAAGAAAAAACAGATTTTTAGCTTGTTGTTTCCTATTTATCTGTGACCAGGCTATAAGGGCAGTGTTCTAGGCATTGACTCCAGCACTTCCCCCCAGATACCTCCTCCAGCTTGCCAAGGAACAGCCAGGGATGTTGTCGCTCCACTCTGTCCTGGGCCGTCCATTGGGCCTCCTATAGGTGGAATGTGACTGGAAAACCTCATGCCTTTCAATATGGAGGCAAAACAGCTCTACTTCAATTTTCTTCCAGGACGGATTGAGCTCCTTAGCCTAAAGGGCAAGTTCTACTCCCCGCAGCAGTGTGCCGCAGTGAGCTTGATGCAGACATTTTTTATTTATGCTCAAGTTTGAAGCGTGGTCTCCACTATGTTATATTCCACACCACAACCAAGAGGTACAATCACCAACTAGCTGTGGGTCTAGATACGGCGGAGGCGGTGAGGAAGTGGGAGCAAGTTCGTCCGACAACAGAGGGACATGAGGGGGAAAAAGAACGGGGATCCAGGTGGAAAAAGGGTCCCAGCATTCTCGTGCACCTTGCTCTTCTAGCTGGTCCAACTTCACGAGTTGTTTTCCGCAATTACAGTCATACAAACAAAACAAGCCGGCAAGCGGATGTAGAATTGGCCAATCAGATGCCTCCGGTCTGCAGCACAGTCTGCGGTAACCTACAATTTGGGAGAGGTTAAGCAGCGTCTGCGGAGGGGGCGGGGACGTCTTTGCATTCACTGCAACACCTATTCAGATGACCAAGTTTCAAAGTATAAATCAGCCTTAACTCCTATATTTAAGGGAGTGTACAACAGCCATGCTGCGGAAATTGAACATATTGCATAAATCGTCACTTAAGAAACTGCTCCTTCCAGGATCTTTTGTTTTTCTTTTTTCCAAGAAAGGAAAATCACCTCTTAAACAGAGGTTTTGACTTGAGTCAGTCAAAATTTTAATTATTAACAAGTCATGACAATCTGTTTCTGAAAAACATAGCACACAAAACAAATGTTTGTTGTATGTTACTTTATGAAGACGTTTGTCATTTTCTTGATGACTTTTACCCCTGCCATGGAGTGCCATCTTGTTCAGGTTGTACAGTTTCTTTTGTTTCATCAAATTTGTGCCTGGAGTCTGACTCAAGTCAAGCCAATGTCCACAGCTCTGTTAATTTTTTTTTTAGTTTTTATGGCACTAGTGGCTTGTTTTTCTGACAGTAGGCTGACACGAAAGGGGGATAGACATGCGGCAAAGCACCACAGGCCAAATTTGAACCCCGGTCGGCCGCATTAAGGACCAAGTCCTCCGTACATGGGTCTTGCGCACTAACCACTGCACCACCTGCATGCCCTTGTTTAATTATTTCTAACATTATGTGCAGGATAAAAAAAAAAAACACCAAAAAGTGGATACCGCAAAAGTATTTGTTCAGTTTAAAAATGTCTGTATATCTGTTAAAAAAGGTATATGTTAGTTGAAATTGTCTGCACGACTCCTGGCAGGCAGTAATTACAGTACACTGATTTCATTTATTCCCATTTTAGCCACCCACTTAGGGCCCTGCAGGGCATCACTCTATCATAATGGATTAATTATATTGGTAAAAACATCAAAGAAGAAAATAGGAAAGAAAGAAAGGACAAAAAAGAAAAGAAATGTCACAAGAGGCAGATTTTTTTATGGTTTAATAAAGAAAAGGATAAAAGAACATCTTTACCCGACTGTTTTGTAATGTTAATTCTTTAACAAAGGGATTCCCCTCACAGTTTTGGGGATTTATATTTGAGTTTGCTATATTTAGGTTTGTATTTTCAGTTTCACTACATTCAGATTATTTCTTGCTATTTGTAAATTGGAAAAGCAGAGACATGTTTGAATTATTTTGTATTTTCTTAAGGTTTTCTTCGCTTTATTCCTGTTTGTATTTCAGTGCATATTTCTTTGATGTCAGTCTGTTTCTCTGTCAGTCCGCCCTTCCATTCATCCTGCCGTCATCCATCCTTCTTTTTGTTTTCCAGCCATCTATGCATTTTTCAACCCATCTTTGTGTTCATCCACCGAAGAAGTTACCAATCATCTGTCTGTTCATCTTTCTTTCTACTGTATCTGTCTGTCCATCCTTTTATTTGCATTTCCATCCATCCTGAAATTTGGCAAAAGATGCCCTGAGAATCAGGAATTTCAACATAAAAATATTAAGCAACCCTGTATTATGTACAACTGTAACGACTGAATAGGTATTTTTTCTGTGAGGGGTCCCCCTGTTGCTGTGCTTAATATAGCAAATAAGAGCATGACTGATTGTCTCCATGTGCCAGGCATCATTTAGGAGATAATAATGTTCCCACAATGCAGCACATATATACATGTACACACAGATTAATTCTGTTTGGAGACAAACACATAGGTCATGTTCCTCTAGAGAACAGCAGGTCATTTATTAAAGGGATAACTACTAAGTAAATAATGACTCAAGGTGTTTCTACTTTGCTTAGTTCTGTATTTACTAAAGTCACATGAAATTCAGTCCCCATTCCTTCAGAATATATTGCATCTTTAGATTAGTTGTACATTGCTTCGAAGTGCGTATAGTTCTGGTCATGTGTTTAAACTTTAAAAATGGAGGAGAGAAAGTCATGTTAATCCTGTGTAGAGGCATTTTCTTTATAACAGTATCATTATTCCTTCATCTTTTGAGTAGAATTTGTTTATAGTTTGTTCAGCTACTGCTGTCCTCACTAGTCTTTGACTACTGCTTATGTTTTTTCTGTTTTTTCCTGTCTGGTTAAAAGAAGAAACTAAACGTATTCATTTGCTGTTATTCAACCAGGTCACAAAACTAGAAGAAGAAAACAAATATCCTTTGGAATGAATAGTGTTAATAGTGTTATTTTACACTATTACTTCTCGTGCTTTTTTGCTCAATTTACACAATTTATTCACAAGCAGATCCTCAAAAATGCACATATGAACTGTGTTTGCATTTCAACAAGCAGTGCATCCAAACCTTTCCTTGTGTTTGTGTCATCATCAGTGTGTTCCCTAAAAAAGTAACTAGTTATAGTTAGTAGTAACATTATAAAAGACCCCTCACACCCACACCATGGACTGTTCTTGCTGCTGCCCTCTGGGAAGAGGCTTCGAAGCATTCAGGTCCAGCAGATTCCAGCACAGTTTCTTCCCCACTGCCATTAGACTGCTGAATGTTGTATAAAATGGGGTTTTGCAGTGTCCATATAAACTGTAAAACTCCCGGCATAATTATAATAAAGCAATTTATATACATAAATCAAGCAGAACACTATGGCGATAGCCGTACTGCTCCACTTGTGAAAGTAAAATCTTTTGGGCTTTTTTTGGCATCAAGACAATTATTCTTATTGCCACATTGTCAGACAGGACACTTAATAATAAATAAACAAATAAATAAAATAATGGGGTTTAAAAAAACAACAACTAAATGTTGGAAACCAGTCTCATGTTTAAATTTTATCGCTGCTGCTTACATTTATCACTCTCTACTTTAAAAATGGAAATGTCTTGAAAGCTGCACTGAACAAAATTTATTTTTTTATACACTATGTGTGTACAAAATGACAATAAAGTCTGTCTAAGTCTAAGTCTAGTTACAAAAAAGTAACAAAGTTACTAACTCAGTTTCTGCTCAGTGAAAGTGACTTGTTATTAACCAAAGTAAACATGCAGTTACTTTTTATATTTAAAATTTCAAAGTGTTTAGATGTTATTTTAACCCTGTTTTTGTTTTACATTTGTTTTTCAGTTAAAGAACAGCCTGAGAGATGACCTGTGTTTAGACCAGGGACCCGACACTGATAACATTCCCATCATGTACCTCTGCCATGGAATGACACCACAGGTGAGTGACTTTTCAGTCCTGAGAAGTTCTATTCTGAGACACCGCTGAGCAATATTCACATGGAGATCCAGAGAGAGCCAATAACTACAGGAAGATTAGTGGAGAACTTAGAGAGAGCAACTTCTACAGAACGTTATATAGAATTGAGACTGAAGTCTCATTCATGTTGATCCAGCAGAAAGACTTCCTATGAACTGCTGCATGGCTTTCAGTGGCTGGGTTCATATTAATGTTTGTTACAAATATACCAACGTTGCCAGGCTTTATTTTTGTTGTTGTTTAAATTAAGCATTTTGAAGATGGAGGAATATTAAACATTTAGCTTGATGTTCTACTTCTGGTAGCCCGTCCAAATAAGCAGGTAGACACTGTGGCAGAATTTTAAATGAAATTTCCTTTTGTATACACTCTGTGTATACAAAAAGAGAATAAAGTTGGTCTAAGTCTTAAATAAATTCATTAATTATATTTTACTTTTATTTCTGAGGAAATAATATTGTACCCTTTCATTAGTTTGATTGGTAAGAAATCCCTTCATTGTCCTAAAATTATTTTTTTCATTACCTTTTAATTTGTCTTTTTTCATATATATCTATCTATATATATATATATATATATATATATATATATATATATATATTCTGTGTGCAGTACCTGACCCTTTCATTAGTTTGATTGGTAAGAAATCCCTTCATTGTCCTAAAATTATTTTTTTCATTACCTTTTAATTTGTCTTTTTTCATATATATCTATCTATATATATATATATATATATATATATATATATATATATATATATTCTGTGCAGTACCTGAACATTTCCTGTTTTATATAAGGTTGTTTTTTTAAGATGCCTAAGAAAGTGCAAGCGTAAGCAAAGTTTTCCTTTCTCTGAAAGTGAAAATAATTTCAATACATTTATGCTCCAGAAAAAGCGTAGTTTTCCTATTAGACTTCTAATAAAATTGATTTCTAATTGAAAAATATATAAGTGTACACCCTGCCTTTAGGTTGTTGTCATTGAACAATCTCTGAGACTTTAATATACGAGATGTTTGAAGGGTTTGTTGATCGTACAATCTATGTGAAGTCATGCTGGAGCATCTAAATGGGATCTGGATCAGAGTTCATCTTAGAAGCTTTGCTCAGTAAAACCTTTTATGTCTTAACTCCCAGCCAGTCCTTTGTGCATATACTGTAATGTCTGGGTTGATTGTCATGCTAACGGTCCCAGTCCTGTCTTATATTCCTTTCCTTAAGCAGAGGCTCTCACATTTTCCTAAAGCACCTTCTATAAAACACTGAATTATTGAAATGGCTTCTGTGATGCTGAACTGGACAGGTCCCGCTCCTGCAAAGTATTACTTCAACCACGCATAGCAGTGAAAATAATTCAGCTTGGACTTATTTATCATAAAACTGTATTCTCTGATCGGTTTTTAGCATTTCTACTACTTTACTACTCTTTACTCTGTCTTCATTTTTTTTTTATTATGCAGCAAATGTTTCTACCTTGCACAACTTCAATGAAACTTAAACGTTTGCAGTTTTTCTTATGAGTTGTGTCATGATTTTTTTAACCTTTCAAAGTCAGCCACTGACAAATATATGATTAAATAATGCTCTTAGAACTAGATGCCCAGATCCAGCACTAAAATGGAGGTATCAGTATCGGCGATTGCCAACAAATAGGGCACAGATACTATTTTGAGAGCCAAAAGTTTAATCAACTATTGTCACCCATTCCAGGTAGGCAACAAAAAGTTCTTCTAGATTCACTTTGAATTAGTGTTTTTCCTGCTTCACAAAGGTAGACAGCAGACAAAGCCATGGTGGCAATTATTTTACATCCAAGTAGTTTGCAGTTCTTCTTATATACACACACACATTAATTCCGGTATCGCTATCGGTATGGTATCGGCCGGTACTGCAAAGCTAGGTATTGGTATCGGGGCCAAAAAATGACATCAACACTAGTTAGAACGACATAATATTGAGCTGTTAAGAAATATTAGGTGAAGAAAAACACAGATTTTTACTTACAGTAAGACATTACCTAAAAACTAGCTGCTGGCCTTGTGCAGATTACATACTAAAAGAGCCACTTTGTCTTTGCTTTGAGCTGGAATTATTGTGCTATGCCTCACATCACCCCTCCCTGATCAGAGAAGGTCTGCCTTTTCTGTACTGGCAAATCCTGGTTAGGGTAAATTCTCCCTTTTGCAGGTCCTCTTTCATTGAAAGCAGAACTCAGTAAAGTAAGTCAGACTTCATTATTTTTGGTTCTGGGGATGTCCCTCAGAGTCAGTCCAGAGTCGGGGTCCAGTCAGCAATGCCGTCAGGTACCTATGAGTTGTCTTCAAACGAGAACTAAACTTCAAACAAAAAATAAATGCTGTTGTCAAAGCCAGCTTTTCCCAGCTACTCCTTTTGATCAAGATTAAACCCTTTTTCTCACTTCAAGACCTGGAGAAGGCGACCTACGCATTTATCAGTTCATGGTTGGACTACCGCAACGCTCTCTAGTCTGGCCTCCCACAGTCGTCACTCCAACGGTTACAGTTAGTGCAGAAGGCCACAGCTCGTCTCCTCATTGGTTCATCCAGACACGGATGCATCACTCCCATCCTCTCCTCTTTGCACTGGCTCCTGGTTTGTTTTCGGATTGATTTTAAAATGTTAATGCTTGTCCTTCATTGTGGTGCCCTGTTATGGGAAACTGAGATGTTGCCCATACATCGCCCCAGCAGAGCTCTCCGGTCTGCCAATCAAATGGTTCTTGACGTGCTCAGGTCCCGGTATAAACAGTGGGGCGATTGTTGCTTTGTGGTTTCTGCACTTAAACTGTGGAACAGCCTGCCCCCCGTCTGCGTGTTCTCACAGATCTGCCCCTTCTTAAGTTCAGACTAAGACACATTTTTTTCAAACAGGCTTTTAATACTTAGACCACACGGATTGATGCTTCGGATTTTTGTTTTTACAATGTTTTTATCTTACTTTGGTCTTCCTGGTGTTTTTGTAAAGTGCTATGCAAATAAACTATGATTGATTGATTAAACTTAGAGATATAGGAATCAAACAAAATGCCCCTTTGTGCAATATTTTAATGAAGAAATTGTATTATAACATGTTAAAAGCTAAATAAAACGTCCATTTTCTATGAGATAAGCACTTTAAATCAACAATAGCAAAAGCATGCCTTAGTTTAGCAATTTTATTTTTGGAGTTTGCTTTATTTGAGATTTCCTTTGGCATCTTGTGGTCATCTTTGAGGTTGAACTTGACTGCCTGCTTTTAATATACTCCATTGGTAGATTATATCCAGTGGAATCGCTTGTTTCTAATTCATATGAGATCTCTTTTATTACATTACCAGAATTATAACCTGCTAAAAACTACATTCGGAAGACATCTAAGAGCTTTTTCAACCTTAACATTGTGACAGCATGCAGGGGGAAGGCATGCATAGTTTCTGAACATCAAATCATAGAAGCAATGTTTAATGGGAGGGGTAAAATTATGAGGTTTTAGTAATTTAAACTGATCCATTGTTTTTGTCCAAAACTATAATTCTCCAGAAACAACTTCTTGCATCATTCAGACAACAGAACTGGTTTTAAAGGTCTTTCATTAATTTCATTGTTTATTTTGTATAACTTTCATTTTTTTTGTATAAATGTAATGTTTTCAAATATGTTACCACAGCAGGAAGAAATTAAGATATCAAATTGATTTATCATCATTATTTAAGTCTTTTCCAGGTCTTTAGCTGGTAAATGGTTGGTTGAACATAACAGCTGGTTGCTTAATTAGTTTGTCTGTTTCCTGCAACATAAAACAACCCACAGGACCTTTTAAAGCAAAAGCAAATCTGAAGGCACTAAGAAAGTGCAAATTCTAACTTTGTTTCAAGATGTTTCTTTCCCAGAAGAAGCAGACATTTTTGAGTTAGAAAAAACCATTGAGACAGTTCGCTATTTTGAGAAAAGAACAAATCAAATTTGAACATAAAATGCTTATGTATCATCATCACCATCATGTTTTCAGGCTTTTTTAGCAGCAGATATTTTAGCTGTTACAGCTGAAGTAGCAGAAAAGTTATGAGGGAGTCATTGAAGCCAGGCACCCACTCTATCAGTTCACTGCAGATTTAGACCACTTAGTTCCTAAGTGTGACTCTAGCTGCTCTTATGGCCTGCTTAATGGAGACTTCAGGAAACAATTTAAAAAAAAAAATCATATTTTACTGCATTAAAATACTCTGTAGGATGATAAAAAGAAAATTATTCATGTTTCGTAATAGTGCAATGCATTCAGAACTAGACTTCTATATGTGGCTGGTATCTGGAATAGCTTTGTCTCCTTTGTCCATAATGTTAATAGCTTTGACCGGCACATTGACGTCTGAAACAGCAGTGTGTGCATTTCTGTGACCCGTCATCCATTTGCTTCTTATACGTCTGCTGCTCTGCATAAGCAGTGCTGATAAAGAAATTGACTTGTATTGGACAATGTTATCTCCACTACTTTTGCTATTAACTTACCTCAGTGAATGCATGCAGCATAGTTTCCTAAGCCCCCCTTCTTGTTTGTTTTATTAAGCACAAGGAGAAGCATCTTGTAACATTTCTGCTGAGTTTGAGCTCAACAGATTCATCCTTAAAATGCTTTCATGTCATGGTCTTGGTTCTGCTGTTCTTTACTTTGCTCCTTGTTTTCTAGATTTATTGGTTTAATTCCAGTTTTGTTGTATTTCTAGATTTTTATTAGTTCTCATGTTTTTCTGTTGTCCCCTTTTGCCCTCTTGTGTGTGTATGTTCC